GGAAGGGGCTGGAGAATCCCTGAGGGAGCTGGGAAGGGGCTGGAGAATCCCTGAGGGAGCTGGGAAGGGGCTGGAGAATCCCTGAGGGAGCTGGGAAAGCTCAGCCTGGAGCAAAGGAGGCTCAGGGGGAATTTCTGGCTCTGCACAAGTCCCTGGCAGGAGGGGACAGCCGGGGGGATTTGGGATCTGCTCCCAGGAACAGGGACAGGAGGAGAGGGAACGGCCTCAGGCTGGGCCAGGGGAGCTCAGGGTGGGAAGCAGCAGGAATTTCCCCATGGAAAGTGAGGCCAGGCCCTGGAAGTTGGTGGAGCCCACAGGGCAGCACTGTCACTGTTTCAGGTAGCACTTGCAGGCCCCTGGAAGGGTGTTTGAAGAAGAGAAGTTCCCAATGCTCCTGTCTACAAAGCTCAATTCCAGCTCAAGGACCCAAAGCAGACGTCCAAGGGAACATTTATTGTCTCCATGCAGCACCAGCCCCTCTGACCCAGGTGAGCCCTGCACACACCTGGGGCACCTCTCACCCCCTCACAGCTCAAGCACTCCACCTCACTCACACCTGGGCAGTTCTGGGGACAGCAGTGACACAAGATAAAAAAGGAATACAAAACCCACAGTGCTCCCTTCTGCCTTTGGCCCCAAGGCTCTGATGGTGACGACTCTCCAGAGCCCAGCTCAGCTGCAGGAAGCACCGTGGCTGTGCTGAAGGCAGCTTTCCCTGCTGTCCTTTATTGCAAACAGAGGGTGGGATGCTGAAATCCCTGCTGGAACATGCAGAGGGCAGGGAATGTTCCACACCTGGGTTTTTAACACTGCAACAAAGGCTCGTGGCCGGGCAGACTCCCAGCCAGGAGCAGAAGGATGGGGGCAGTGGAGCCCAGGGCTGCTGGTGGGACGGGGGGGAGCAGCCTGCTCCTGTGGGGCTGGAATGTGGCTCTGCAGGTGTTCCAGCAGTGCAGCCCTGCCCTTGGCCAGGCCAGGCTCAGGTGGGAATGCCAGGCCAGGCCCAGGAGCAGTGCCCAGGCTCAGGGCTCAGGTGGGAATACGGCTCCGCAGGTACTCCAGCACGGCAGCCGTGCCCTTGGCCAGCACGGCGGCGCGGGGCGTGCGGAACGGGTTCCCTTCCAGCAGCAGGCTCCTGCAAACGGGGATTAGTTACTGGGGTAAAACTCCTTGTGCCAGCACACTCATCCACTGCACACAGATTTCTGAGGCCTTTGAAATTCCTGGGTAATTCCCCTTCTGTCCTGATAAAGGAGTTTGGGTTTCTGCTTCCCTCATCCTCAGCAGCTGAGCTTTGAGACAGCTGAGTCTTAATTTATGCTGATACATCAGTGGGGGTGTAGCACACACCCCACTGCTGCAGCCTCTGCCAGGAGGAGCGAGGAGAACTTCTGGAATATAGAAACAGAATTCCAGAGTGGCTCAGGCTGGAAGGAAGCAGCTGGTCCAACCTCCCTGCTCAGTGGGAGCAGAGGAAATGTCATCCCCACAAAGGCTCCACCACGAGCTTCACACAACCCACAGACCCCAAACATCTGTTCTAAATGATGAAACAACTCCCACAACTCTCTGCAACATTGAGAAATTAGGGAAGAGATTATGGAAGAAACTGCCCTGTTCTACAGACAGTCAGAGGGACACTTTTAGGCCACTGGGTGCTTTTTCCTCTGGCAAACATTCCCTGAAGGACTCAGACAGAAAATGTGTTTGTAAGCAGGCCCCCATGACCCCACACACCTGAGGTTCTCACAGTTGCCCAGCTCTGGGGGCACCTGGAGGAGGTCATTGTTCTGCAGGTCCAGCGTTCCCAGCCTGTCCAGGGCCTTCAGCTGCACGGGGTCGATGGATCCCACCTGGTTGTTGCTGAGCAGGATGGTCTCCAGGGCTGGGAGGTGATACAGGACACTGGGAAACACCTTAAACCTTCAGTGAGAGAGAGGTGGGATAGTCAGAAACAAGGCATTCAAAAGAGGAGCACTTCATCCCAGCTCGCTGAAGCGGCTCCTTGTTCTCACATCACAGGAAAGTTGTGTCAAATTCAGCCCAGCTCTCTTTTTATTATTGTATTAAAAAAAAAAAATCTGAAGAGTTGCTCACCTATTAAAAGCAAGATTTATTGTGTGCAGGCTTTTCAGTGCCTCCATTTCCTCAGGCAAGGCTGTCAGAACATTGTTTCTGTTATTAAAGAAAAACAAACAACAAGCACTAAACTTAGTTGGGGGTTTGGCTGAGAATTCCCAGATCAGCTGCACAGTCTGGGGCCAGTTCACTGCCTCATAAAAGGGGCAAGAGCATGCCAGGGATTCCCATTTCTGCCAGGAGGACACTCCAAGCCTGTCCTCTAAAGATTCCCAAGTATTCCCAAGCAACCACCAACTGCACAAACCTGCCTGGAAATTTAGCTCTGTGTTTCCAGAGGAAAGCTTATCAAAGTGACCAGCCCCTGGAGCCAAAGTCAATCAGTCAGGTTATTATTATTTATTATTATTATTTAAAGCTCCCCAAAATCAATGGATTGAGCTAATCCTGATTGAAACAATGCCAGGAGCATTTCTCAGGAATCACAGGAGGCAAGGTGACAACAAGGAACCATCTCTTGCCTCTCTTTCTGGCAGTGCAACAAAACCTGCACCTTCCCTGTCCTAATTCCCAGGATTTTTTGGCGTGGTTTTCTTCTGGGGGATGGTGGGAGCGTTTTGAAATAGCAACATCTCAGAACCTTTCTCTGACTGAGGATCTCTCCCCCAGCACAGCTCAGAACTGGTCCATTTCTTCCTGTGTCTTCTTTATCGAGGCCCAAATTTAGGCCACGTCCTGTTGCAGCTCAGCCACGGAGGAAGATTGGGAGTGAGAGCTGATTTCAGCACTGCCATCCCACTGGAACAGATGGCTGCTTTGGGGAGGGAGGCAGGGAAAGAAGCTCCCAGGCAAGGAATTGCAGCACACATCACCAACCTGAGATCCAAATGTGTTAATTTCTGGAGCAGGCACAGCTCTGAGGAAATGGAGGAGATTTTGTTGAAGCCCAGGCTGACATCACAAACGGAGTCTTTCAGCTCCACCAGCCTGAAGCACAAAAGGAAGATGCTCTCGTTATGGAAGCTCATGGTTGCTTTGTAAGTTTTTAAAAAACCTGGTTTATTCTACAAATCAAGGACATGTTGTGTTTTTTCTGAAGGGATTTTGGGGAGGTCATGCTACCTGTGAGAGCTGCTCCTCCTCCAGCCTTGGGGTAAAACAAAGCTCCAACCATTTACCTATAGTTACTGCATTTTCTCTCACAAATGCTGCTACCCAAAGCCTCCTCAGTAAATGCAGTCAGGAGCTATTTCAGAGACCACAGGTGACATCACTGCCACCTCCTGCCCTGGAGATGCTTTAACACTCCTTCTTCTGCAGCCAAAAACCCTGACAAAAAATCCTACTTTTTCCCATCTTTTGTTTCTGTTCTCCTGTTGTGCTGTTACAAATTCTGGGAGTATCTGCTGCTGCATTGATTTATTGTACTAACATAATAAAGCACATAATAGCTTTGGTGTAAAGGCTTTAACAGCTCCAAAAGTTCTCTGCTGAACCCCTCAAACAGAATCTCTGGCTTAGCCCTAAAACAAAAGGCAATTAAATGAGAAAACACTCCTGTGTCCTGTCTGGATTGGCATGGAATTCTGAGGCACACCTATCCCAGGGAATTCAGCAGCCCCTCACACAGTGACAAAGCATGGGATGCACAAGCAGCAGCTCCCAAAACTGAGCCTGAGAATCCTTTTTGTCCCTTTGGGACTGCACCTCCCTGATCTGCCTGTGCCAGCGCTCCAGTGTTCCCCACACCTGGGAATAAATTCAGCTGTCCTCAAAAACCAGTGTGGGTGATTTTTTTGGGGCTGCCAGAGACCCAGCAACCTTCTTCCTGACACAGAGGGATTATTTGTTCCCAGCAGTGCCAGGGAAAGCTTTTCCTTGGCTGTGGCTGGCCCCAGGGACTGCACAGCCCCACCTGGGCACCGGTGCATCCTCACGCTGAGATTTGTGTGCACAAACAGCTCAGGGGGAGAACAGGATGCTGAGAACAAAGGCAGGAGAGCAAATCCCAGTTGGGAATGGCCTTCCCAGCAGTACCTTGGGGGGATCTCCCTGAGCTGGTTCTTGCTGAAGTTCACGGTGGCCACGGGATTGGCGCCCACAGCGTCGAACACGGCCTCGGGGATCTCTGCAGCCTGCTTGTCACTGGGACAGGAGTGACACCAATTAACCACTGCCTGCTAATTAACAGGGCATTTCCACCTTCTTTCAGAGAACATAAAGAGCAGAACAGAGGGAACAGCTGTGGAAAGCTCCCAGCACTGCCACATGTCCACAATGTCACCAAACACAATTTTTTTCCCTTTCCCAACCCTTCCAGGTCCATTTAAGGAATAACTGAGCAGTTATTCCTCCTACAAGATGTTCAAGTGAAAATCGTAAAGAGTTTCAAAGGTACTAAAAGCACCTGCTGGGATTCAGCATTTCAATGAGTTACTGCAGAATATCAATACAAAAAAAACATTTCAAATCCCAGTCTAAATTCCCAAGCACAGGAATTCAAGGGGACAATGCCCAGAAGCAGCTTGTGGACAGCTTGGTGTATAATGAAGGTGGGGAAAAAAACCACAGGCATAAAACAGGACGGTGTTCTCACAACTTCAGGAATGGGTAATATTCCCAAATACCTGTATTCCAGTAATTTCAGTGTGGTTATGGCGTGGATGTTGACCTTGGACTGGCTGGGAAGAGTCATGGCTGTCACAGGAGGCTCTTCATTGGGGCCAGGTGCATCATCTGGGGACAGCAGAGGGATGCAGGGACACAGCTGAGCTGCTCTGAGTGGCCCCAGGCAGCTGCCACCACCCCTCTCCAATCCTGCTCCACTCTGGCTCAGCTCAGGATCATCCAATTCAGATTATTTCAATCATTTCCTAATAAAGATTTTTTACCATCTTGGATTTGGGGGTTCTCTTAGGGTGAAGGAGGGAGAAGGGCTGGAGATGTGCTGGTGGCAGCTGCTCTGCGAGACTCTGCTCTGTGGGGTGGGGAGCTGGGAACTGCAAAAACCACGGAATTCTGACTGGAAATGATGACCTAGAGCAGCTTTGTCCACACCAGCACATCTGGCCACAATTTCAGTAAAATAATTAATATTTACAAACCCTCCTCTATGAAGTTCCTTCTGATTACTCCCCACAATCCACGTGAAAAAGCTCCTGCACACCTGAAATGGGAATTCCCATCCAGCTGAGCAGGGTGAGTTGGGTTTTGTAAAGGATAATCCTCAATTCAGAATTGTTTATAATTCAGTATTAGATAATAGGATAAGAAAAAGAAACAGAAATATCACAGCAAACCGTCGAGTAAAGGAAATTATTACTGCAGGATAACTGGGGCCACCTGGGTTTAAACAACCACCCTCCCTAAATTCTAATTTACTTTCATTTCTCAGAACATTCTCCTTAAAATGAAGTGGAAGAAAGCAACATACCTTGGATTTTGCTTCTCAGGTATTTCAGCAGTTCCTGGGTGCCTTTCTTTAAAAAAGAAACAAACCCCAAGTCACTCAGCAGTATTTCTGCAGCTGGGGGGACAATGCAGAAGGACAATGCCAGCACAGCCCACAGCACCCCTGACTAAAAATCCCACTGAAAATCCCACAGCAGCTTGGGAACTTGCTTAGTTAGAATTCTGTTTATTCCAGATGAAAATTTCAACAGATTTTAACAGCTCCAAAGATTTCCCTCAATCCTCTCACTTCCAGTGAGCAACTTCCAGTGGTCAGACACAGCACAAACCTGTGAAGCCCAAACTCCTCTGCACTGTTGGTTTTA